TCATGGTTTCTTGAACGGCGATGAGCCTGCGTCTGTGGCACGTCTCCTTGTGGTTGTGCTATTGCGGCGTGTCCCAGCTAATCGTGGTTTCCGTTGGCGCCTCGGGTCGCAGTTTCGCGGCTCACATGTCCCCGTACGAGTCCCCCTGCGAGCGCATCACCGTACCCCTGTGTAGGGACACCCCGTACAACTTGACTCGCATGCCAAACATGCTCGGCGATCTCAGTCAACTGATCGTCGCCAAGTCGATGAGAGACTACGAACCGCTGATCAACCAGAACTGTTCTGTGCACCTCAAGTTCTTCTTGTGTTCGGTCTTCACACCAATGTGCACCGAGGCGGTCGACGAACCAATCACCTCCTGTCGTTCGGTGTGCGAGGAGGTCATGCACAGCTGTCTTCCGCTGCTGACCAACTTCGGTATTCCATGGCCTGCGATCCTCAACTGCAGCCAGTTCCCCCTGAAAGGAAACGGTGCCCTGTGCATGGATCCCACGACCGCCTACAACTCCGCCAAGAAGGCAGCCGACAACGGCGACCGTCATATCAAAGGTACTAGCGTAATGTCTACTAATCACTGATTCTTTCACGTGTATTTCACAGTCTTTCTACTAATGACGTTTCTGAAAGAAGCAGTGCTTCTAGAGGCACGCGAAATTTTATTCAGCCAGCTGAAGATTGTTGTAAAACTTAGCACTGTAAACGACTACAAGCGAGTATTTACTATTAAGACAGTACTTGTTAATTTTCAAATCCTCCTCCACACATTTTTACGCTGCTGCTCTTGTTGTGAACTACCAAATCACTCTGGTTCAGGCTTATATACTCCTTTGAACTCGTACCGTCGTACTAAAGCCTGAGCAGTAAAACCAGAGACAGTTACTGACTATGTCATGGAAACGTACGGCAAGCCGACATCCCAGCGGCTACAAACTTTTTCTATTTTGTTTTGTTTCTTTTCAGTGTTTCTCCATTGCGTTATTAAGTATCGTCATAACATACCGTCCTGATTATTCAAGCGCCCCTGCGGCATTTCCGATCACGAGTTAACATAAACAGATTGTACTGTCTTCAGTGAAGAACAGTTGTTTGACGTGACACTTCACATTTGGGCTAATCGTTCGTGATCGTACAGAAAATACACTGAGCGGTCGCTAAACCTGCCCCACCCACGGACACTTTCCGATGACGGAAAAAATAAGATTCTCAAATCCTCAACTGCCTTTCATCTTTTGAACATGAGAAATATTTTCTGCTTATCATTTTTTTCTAATAAATAATACCCATTGCAGGTGAAGGTGGTTGAAATAAACCGATTACAACTGACGTTTTCATATTTTTGCGTTGAGGCCGACATGACGTCCGAACAAACGGCATCGAAGAAAGTTTCGTTATGTGTCGACGTCTGGCTCTGGCCCTGTCTTTTGGTTTCTGTTCGATAGAAGTTCTGTTTCTTAATGTTGGAAATTTTTCATCGTAAACTGCTGTTCGATGATAGCTGAAAGATTGATGCTTGCATATGGTAGATAAAAAGCTTTATCGGCTAGCGTTTGCATGCCAGACTTGAAACTGTATGATTCGTCTGTGAGCTCGGCATTCGGAAACCAAGCCAATAAAGCTTTTTTCGTTCTGTGTGAATTTCCAGCTTTCGCTTTCCAATCGCCGCTTGTCGGTGTTTTGCTCTTCGGCGGCATTCTTTATTTCTTTTTTTGAGATTCCTCCAATCTTTGTCGATGCCAAATGTTGACTATTGACGTCTCGGCGAGTTCCGTAGCACACATGCAAGATGTTTAGTTCGGCCATCATGGCTCCTCCGACTTTCTAGACGCTTCACACAAGCGCAGGTCTTGCTCCCAAGGTCGAAACCTCAGCTGAACGTTTTCCATATTTATGCAAAAACATAACTTTAAAACGAATGGCGTAAAAGTACCAAGGGTTAGGCTGCAAGTACAAGTTTTCAGTCGATGAGGGGGAGGGTCATTTTTTACTTAGTTGTTACCACTTTTCTTCATAATCGACTGTGATTTCAGTTTCCTTCCAATTGCCTATGTGTCTAAAATGGATTTGATACTGTATGGTACTCAGAGTTCGTGGCAAGCCGTTGCACTTACCATAACGGATGAAGAGAACAACTCCACCTACTTAATCCTGAGATTTTACGTCATACTTTAGTCCGTATCCGCTCTTCATTCATCTCATCCGTTGGAGTTACTTTCCTAAGCGCAACACATGCCCCACGTTTAACTCACTTGAGCTACATGGGCCTCGATCTGCCCTTGGCCGTCCGTTGTTTGGCATTTCGCATTCCGTTATTTGAGTCTCTTCGACATTTTGATGACTCTACTAATTCCCCACAGCGTAAATTTTACGGTGAAATTTGTATGTCCTATTGACTGAATCTTTTTCTCCTTCTCCGAAATGAATATGTTAGTTTGTTGGAAAATTTTTGCAACGTATGTCGATCAGAAATTTTTAATTTTTTGTACACTTGGATGCAATCAGTGTCTGAAAACTGATTTAATTTAATAATGTTCTTTGTTTATTAAATTGTGTTTAAAATTCAATTTTTTAGTATATCTATGAGCAACTTTATCTTTAAACGGGCGTTTATTCTTTAAATTTTGAATATCAAATCAGTCATGCTTCAGTCTTCCACTCAACGTTTCCTCATTGTTAGATATCATCTGTGTTATACATACCTGCAATTGTTTCGATCAATGGTTGGCACCCGACCACCACGCGCAGCTTCCGTCGTTCTTCACATCATCGCGCCACTCTTCTTCCATATACTGCCTTTCTCTACCTACGTAGTCATCTGGTCTTCATTGGTTATGACCAAATCTGCTAGACTTCTCCTTCGCCTACCTTTTATTTTTCACATGCTACCCGATGCACCTATATGCTGGCACTTTTCTTGCATTTGAGGGTTCTTCGTTCCTTTCTGTGGAGTCCACCTATCACGCCTATGCTTCCTAACGTCGTACAGTATTTGGTTCCTTGCAACGGTACAGGTCTATAGATGATTCCCTTATGAACTGTAGTCTTTTTCATATCATATCGCTCGCTTTCACGGTCTAAACCATGGCTACCTAGTCGGCTTCTTAGTTTACTACCGATCTCACCGTTGAAGCGCGGAGGCACAGTGGGGTCGGTCTCGAAGCCGGAGATGCGGGGTTCGATGCCATAAGAGGGACAGTCTTTATCTTAATCGCGAATTGCCTTCAGCGAGGAATTTACTTCATGTTTGTTTCAGTGCAACCGACCGAGGAATGGGTAGCAAATTGCTGATTTACGGAGAAACAGGGGCGCTATTGTGTTCTGGCACAGTCATACCAGAAGTGCGCTGTCTGATGTAAGCGCCTCACAGGGATGCCACTCGATTTGACCCACTTGATAGCTCCTTATTCAATGTGATAATCAGCAAAAAGTGCAACCCTGTTATTAGTTTTGTGGTTGTTTTATCGTCAGAGAAACTGGATAGCGCTTGAATGTTATGATTTTGGGCAGAAACAACGATGCGTTTCCTCTGTTTTTCCTGCTGAAACAGCAAACTATATGTGTAGTCATCGCACTCACATGATGCCCGTCTTATTTCTTCGAATACATATTTTCTGTGATTTGAATTTCTGTACGAAGATCCAGTGGAGCTTCTGACCGTCTGCATAAATAATGCGCCATATGGCTCGATCCTGCAGGTCTTTATATATCGCCTATCGCGGTCTCTTTTACAGGTCGATGCCGATTCTCAAAATTTCTCTTTTTCACTACTAAACTTCCAGCTGGCACTTCGGCTCCATCGTACATATCTTGAATGAGTCTCGTCATTTCTTTGTAACTCTTGCCTATATTGTACTTTGTTCGTCTCTAAGGAAACCGCAGCTAATAACTGTTTCATTCCCTATATTCCTTTGTGTTTCTAAAACCTCTCTAATGTGAAAATTGCGTCTATCATTAGCATGCGATAGGGACCCAAACTGGTTTTAACTCATACCGGCACCTTGCATGAACGTCGTCGACCCCTTGTCATACGATCTAATGACATGGCTCAGCACTTCTATCCCACGGTGTTTTCCACATGCCAAAAATGTCCCATTTCTCCTTGTGGATCAACGCCATAATACTCTTTCTTCGTACTGCTCGTTGGCAATAAAATTAATAGTCATAATTAATAAAGTACCAAAACTAATCATTGTCTTAATTCCGTGTATTGGGCCCACTTGTAAGTGTAAATAGCCTCGTAGCTTCAATGCCTTAGATGGTGAGAACGAGCTCAACACGTAGCCATTGTTCACCCAACTTAAAGGAGCGGTATTCAGACACCAGTTTTCGAACCTACCGTCGTACTTAAAAATACAGCAGATTTATACTCTGTCTGCTTGTGGCCAGCCGAAGCAAATATGTAAGTTTCATTGAAATAAATTTGGAAATTTAATGCAATGTCCGCATTTGTGATGGATTTATCTATCGACAGTGAATTTCTTTTGGACCTACGACCTGTGGTGACAGCTATGTTGAGCACATAGTTGCAATGAAATCCGGTCCGTGTGCTTGAACATCCGTTTTAAATGTATGCAGCGTTACGAATCAACCTTCGGAGATAAAAAGCATTACTGCAAAGTACATTATCCTAATAAAATCTGTCTAAATGCATGCTAACTGTTGTCTGTTGGCTTTTCATGTTAGAACGGCCAGTCGGAAGGATATTAAAATGCTTTAAAATGATGTACTAAATTTCGGATTTTTTTTTGCGTCTATGGTTTTGATCTGGCATAGGGACTAAAACAGTCAATCATGCATGAAGTACAGGTGAGGTTGGTTACGGGCTTGGGTGCAATACCTTAAGTAGTAAACAGCTTTTAAAAGGTTTTTCGTGTCAGTTGCACATAGTGTTACTTTAGAGTTGAAAGTTCAAACTGACGTAAGCTCATCGACGTCGTGCGGCACAGAGTTTGTCAAGTTAGAGCGCGAGGGTTCCTCGGGAACCCAGTGCGCCCTGCGCTGTGATCAGCAGTGGATGTTCACAAAGAACCAAAAGGAGTTTGCGGAGAAATGGATGACCGTGTGGGCGGCGGTGTGTTTCGTTGTGACCGTCATTACGGTCATCACGTTCTTGATTGACATGACTCGCTTCACGTACCCAAAGCGCCCCATCATATTCATTTCCTTTTCATACTGTCTGTATTCGTTGGCGTATTTGGTAAGGGCGTCGCTGGGCAGCGAGTCGATCGCCTGCACCCAGCTTTCCGGTCACTCGGTACTAATCTCCCGCAGTCTGGACAACCCGCGATGCGTCATCATCTTCCTCGTCCTCTATTACTTCAGCACGGCCAGCTCGGTGTGGTGGCTGATCCTGACCATGACCTGGTTCTTGTCGGCGAGTCGCAAGTGGGGCCAGGAGGCGATCGCCCGACTGAACAGCTTCTTCCACATCATCGCCTGGGTGATCCCGGCTGGCCTGACCATCGCCGTGTTGGTAACGCACGAAGTGGACGCCAGCGAGCTGACCGGTCTTTGCTTCGTCAGCCAGCGCGACAGCTCGGCGACCTACGGTAGGTGATGGTGCTGCTTCTGGCCACTGACTCGTTCACTACTCACAGGACATGTATATTTTACGTGTGGGTGTTTCAGGATTTTTTATTGCGCCGGTAACAATCTTTTCGCTGATCGGCATCGGATTTATGGTCGCCGGCATAATGGCAATGAGTCGCATTAGCAAGGAGATGCGGTGTCGAGTTCGAGAGGTTGACCTGTTTAAACTGAAAAAATTGACCACTCAAGTGTGCATCTTCTCCGTACTGTACGTACTGCCGACGCTGGTGGTGATCATCTGCGAGATTTACGAGAAACTGACCATCGAGGAGTGGATGAAGCGCCACCGCAATTGTGTACTGTTGTCCGCCCAGCTGGAGGACGCTGGCCCTACGACCCCGGCAGCCCCTCCTCGCGACGCTGCAACCGGTAAACACGAACTGTTGCGCTCCTGCCGCCAGCCCGGCGGCGGCGAAAGCGCTGCACGAGCGCCGGTGATGGAGGTCTACGTCCTGAAAATATTTACGAGCCTCGTGATCGGCATCACCAGCAGCATGTGGATATGGAGTCAGAAAACGGTGGTCACGTGGCGTCGATTCATCTGCTGCTGTCTGTTGACGATGCCGCCAGCCAAGACCTCGGTTCAGTACATGCCGGTGGTCAGCGACAAAGCAAAACACCCTTCCGCTTCGTCCACTTCGCAACTGGCCCGTGCCGTCGGTGGAGCCACAAGCGGTCCTGCTAGAGCTGCCAACGGCGGTGGCTTCTTCAACTACACCAGTGTAGACAAGTTAGCTAAATTATGACGGTCATCGCCGCCGCTGACCACGGACCGACCGGGCCGAGGTGATCGAAACCACCGAGTTTCGATTCGCATGAACTACGAGCCGTTTACGGCCATTTTCCAGCGTGTGTGTAGACTAATAACGTGCCATAAAGCTGGAACAAACATTCGATACAGTTCTCGATATCATTGTGTTTTATTTAAGTATTTGTTTGCTTGTTGTTAAACACGGTCTTTGTTTACAGGCGCCTCTTTGATTTTGCCGCCTTCGAATATGTTTACTGACGGTGTTGGCACCGGTTGTGTCTGACCCCAGTATCTCCGCTCTTCACCAGTGTACAAGCACACGTCGGTCACACTGTTACGCATTAAAATCCAACGCTGATCAGATTGCGAGTTTCTTTCCAAACAAACTAAGAAAGACTACAAGTTTCACGTTGTTCTGAATTCATTTTGACTATTGATAATTTTTAAACCGACATCAACAAATAGCTGATCTTTCTTCATTAGTGACGGGGATCACCGTTGCATAGCCCCGATGCCCACGTTCTTCTGCCTCGTGTAATTCGTCATCACAATCTTTCATAAATGATCGTTCCATCTGAGCCAAAGTCTTTCAATTGGGTGCTTGCAGCCCCTTGGGTACTAGTTTCGAATTCATATTACTGTTTAATTCCATTTTCTATTTGCCAGATGTTTCATATTATAGTTCGTGCTTTCTTAAGAGAATAAATGTGGACTGAGACTTCGAATCCTTCCATCCTCATTTTGAGCTAAAAGCTTATTCTCTCACGCAAATCCGTCAAACGGACATGTTGAATCCCAAGCTGCATTATTAACAGTTTTCTTCTACTACCGTGTCTGAAATTTCTTTGGTGAGGTTCGTAAAAATAATAGGTTTTGTTTTGGAATGGCATGAGTAACGCGCGAAGAGCGATAGGCGTTCGATGATGTGCATGGTTTCACGTTACTTCAACACCATGACTAACTTCTGACCCCAAAAATTTAATTTAAAATTTAATTTAAATCAAAATTTAATAATTTAATTTAGATTATCTTCAACTTTAGGTAAAAGTTATTTCATTTGATATTCACAAACGCTACCAGATATTCGACGAACCTTAAATCCACGCCACGCTATTCAATGCATACAGGGGTCGCGCTGTCTTAGTCATGTGTTTCGGCAACAGTTAACCATTTGTGCTCTGCGACTCAAAACGGCATCACTGTAGACTTGCGATTAGAGTTTCAAAAAATCGGTGGAAGAATTTTGTAATAAAGTTACTGTTTAGGCTGTACTTTTATTCTTGACAATTTTATGAGTTTGTAGCCTAAGTATGTTATCGTCAGCGAATATGTTTATCGTTTCTATATGCCAATTTTAAATTATTCCTCTGCAAATTGGCACTGTTCAATCTACAGCAAACAGTAAAATTAATCTGACTCCGAGGAACGCTAAGTTTAAAGCGACTTTGAATAAGAATAAGCATATTGATTGAAATGTCAGAAGAGGAATGATCATAAACAAGTTTGAGTTTGTTCCCTATGTCTGGAATATCTGATTACAGAATAATGCTAGGCGTTTAACGTTTGAAAGGTATTTTTTCAGGAATGGTCGGTGTGATCGGTTGGTTCTTTTCACGAAGAACGTTTCAGCGCTTTGCTTGCAATACAGGCTGCTAGACAGTTCAGCTCGATTAAATTTTTTGTTAAGCCTACTGTAAATTGGTATGGATCAAAAGCCAGATTTTGCGTGCTTGCTTTGGTAACACGGCCAGTGATCAGCAACAGCTTGGTGGCCATCAGTTCTGGATCGATTCTTTTTTAACTTTTCTGAAAAGTCCGTTTTATTCATTTTGCCATATTTGTAGTTAGATTGAATAACGTTAATGTGTTTGGCTTGATGTCCGAATTTTCTCAACCGCTCTGGTGCGGTCAACCACTTCGTGTTTGAGCGCCCTTTTCACGCATAGATACATACATAACTATTATTTGCCGCAGTTCTGCCACTAACGATCAAGCGTTAACTTTTTGCTTAACGTCGTCAGCGCCCAGCGAACTGTAAAGACGTCGCAATGTTCCCAGTGTAAAGTTATTAGGTGAATTTTTAAGCTATGCTTTATGGTCCATCAAAATGTGATGAGATTCTAGTGCGTTCTTAAACGGTGCCATATGGACCGAAACTGCGGCCCACGAGGCTCCTATCCTTGAACGGCGCGGTCACTTTCGGTACTTTTGATCGTCAAGTTTAATTGCGCTTTATGACAATTGAAAGTTTCCCCGAACAAGTTCCGTTTATCGTTACACAACAAGCTTCTGCAGAGTAAACATCGCGTTCGCCCTGTGTGTCAGACGAAGTTGGCACAGCACTTTTTGGACACCGTGCCGTCGCAAAACAGCTTTGTCAGGTAAAGTCGATCGCCACCTTCTTCTAA